AGTTTCATCAAATCTCTCTTCTCTCCCTTCCCCATCACAATTTTAACAGACAAACTTCTCCTAGCTAGCGTGACTTAAATATGCGGATTCTACAATATATTCCACTGTCTTCAGCATTCCCCTATTATCAGAGCTAAAATGTCAGCCTTTCACGTCGGCCCTGGCTAGATCTGAATATTTAAAAAGGCTTCTTTTTAAACCTTTTCATGTTTTGCTATTTATGCTACCCACTGCCCCAGAGACTTAGAGGAAATAATCTCTCGGTTTTGTTCCCTGTGAAATCCTTCCCAGTGTTAAGACTGTCTCCCACTTTTTCCCTGACATTTTCTTTACATGGTGCCGCTTCTCTAAACTGATGGTCACAGAGTCCTTCTCAATAACACAGAGACAAAACGCTCTGCATAGCTGATAAATTATAAGCAGGCGCCGTGTGTTAGCTTGATGGATTGTTAGAGTGAATGTGTGTGAGTCATGGGTGTTATTTTTGGTCAAAAGAATTGTGTGAACTTTTCTCCTCTATTTTGAGTGCTTTGAAATGTACTACTTTTCTTTCTTTCTTTCTCTCTCTCTCTTTTTTTTGGTTCTTTAAGGTGTATGTCAAAGAATTAGGCACCATATCAGAATTGTCATTTTCTAGTTTTCCAAGTTATTGTTTTGGAGTTGAGGAGGTGGAAGGACTGAAGAGAGAAGAATTGTGTGTTGACAGGTAATCCAGCCTGTGCAATGTAAAAGAAAATTACAGTCACCTGCTTTAAAGGGGGCCTCCCCCACCTCACCCTACTCCAGGGGTCAATTTTAAAGCTGGAGTAGATTTACTGTGAATTCGCTTGGAGGTAATATGATTCTAATTAACTGTGGTTTTGCAGCTACTGTAGAAATGCCTGACTATTTGGGTAGATTTCTTTCCAGCCAGGCTGCAGAGGGAATGATGTTTGGCACTCACATCACTGGGTCTCTAAATTGCTGTTTCCTAAAGCTCGCGGTCCTCTGCTCCCTGTATCACGGGCACCTTTGATGTATATACTGGGTGCCTGCCCTGTTCTAATGTCCAAATACGTGGAAGCATCATTGAGCTCAGTGTTATTCAAAGGGAGGCCCAAGGACCAGTGCCCAGTGCCGAGCTGCAGGGTGCAGGCTGCTGTTTCTGGTCCATGACAAGATAAGTGCACAAATTGAGAGTAGGTGTTCAGGAACTTTTATAGCAATCTGACAGCATGATTTTATATCTGTTGAATCTAACAACACTTGGGGTTTTATCTTGATGTCTTCTTAAATTTATTCTCCTAGTACTTTATTTTTATTGTATTTTGCAAAAAGTGCGGGCCTATGATGGATGGAGGTAGACAACGGGCCTTTCACCACTGGTAGGTGGAGTTGTACTGGTCCCGCTACTGTGGTTACCTTGGTGAGCGAATGTCAGGGTCATCCCACCCATCTGAGGGACTCAAGCCATATTGATTCAAAAAGGGAAAGTTAGGGATGTTGCAGATTTTTTTTTTGGTCTTTCGTTAAGTTTTCACCTTACAAGCATTTCTTTCCCAGCCTCTCTTCTGCCACTTGGGAGAAGGCAGGCTCCTGTGAAGGTGAATTTTGCTGTGTCTCCTGCAGATGGGGTGCTGGAGGCCTGACCATGTGCAGGGAGGCTGGCTCCCTTGAGGCCACCTTCAGGCCTTCGCTGGGCTGCTCCTCCGGCCCCTCCGCTAGGCCAGTCACTCTGGCCTGAGGGCCTGTCCCTGCATCTGCTGGAGAGGGATTCTGCTTGCTGAGCTAATGTCTGGGACATGTTCTAGAGTTCTGAGGAGGAAAAGCAGAGGCTGCCTACCTGTGATCCCTAAGGAAGGAGAGCCGTGGGACCGATCAGAGGAACCAGGAAAAGAACATCAAGAATTGAGTCATCTCCACTTCACTGCAGTCTCTGGGGTCTCCCTGCTCTTGTGGCCTTGAACTGCTTTCCCGAATGGAAGTCTTGGTTGGGATGGGGGAGAGGGAGGCAGGGAAGCTGGTTGCCTTTTCTCCAACCTGGAACTTTCCCTGGGATATCTACAAGGCTCCCACTCACGCTCTCTCCTCTTTCAAGTCTTGGTTTAAATGTGGCCTTCTCATTGAGCCCTCTGTGAGCCTTTCCCCCCTCATACTCAGTGCCCTTTGCTGGCTTTATTTTTCTCCAAGCACTGGGGCATTATTTATTTTATTGTAATATAATGTAATCTATGTAATAGCATCTGTTAAAATGTAAGTTTACAAGGGAAGGGGGTTTTGTGTGTACTGCTGTGTCTCAGAGTCTAAAACATGTGGCAGGTGCCCAACAAATGTGTTGTATACATCAATGGCTGTATGAGGAATGATGAAGGGCAGGGTCACAAAGGAGCCGATCGTGTTCAAGGTGGCATTCAGCCACATCCGCACAACGGTCCACTGAGTGATGGATTTGCAGCCATTGGAAGGGCACAGTCAAGGGGAGGTAACCAGCCTTTAACCAGCACCTACTGTGTACTTACTGTATGCCAAGCACCGTGGTGGGTGTCCTATGTTCCTTATTCAATTTAAGTATCAAATCACCACGTGAAGGATGAGTGATTAGCTCCATTTTACAGATGGGGAGACTCAAGAGGTTAAGAAACTCACCAAAGGTCACTCAACCCTGTAAGTGGCAGAACTGGGATCCAACTTAGTCTATTGGATTCCATCAAGAGAAATTTCCAGAAATAGTTGGTTGGCACAGTGTCTCTTGTTTCTTTCCTTTCCTACCTGTAAAATGAGAATTAATTTTTCTCATCCTTTACCATATTTTTCTCTAATGAGAACAAAAATCTGGGAAAATTGGAATGCAGCTATTAAACGATATGAGACTTGCAAATAATTGGGTTCAAAATTAGATCACATTATTATTGAGTGATGTTCCAAGAAGTGAGTACAAATCAGGGCTTGATTAAATCCAGTCAGTGGGGATGAGCGGGGTTTCCATGCAAGACTCCATGCCTGGCGCTGGTTTCAGTGTTGGGACATATTGTTATTATTCCAGATCCCTCCCTAGGCTGAGACCACAACCTCCAGACTCAGCATATTGTCTCTCATTTAAAAAATATTCCTGGAGCATCTACCAGATGCTTGGGTTAGATCAGTAGAGAGAACAAAATTCCTTGCCCTTCATGGAGCTTCTATTTTAGTAGGAGAGGACACAAAAGTAAGCAGTAAGCCACACAGTAAATTATGTTTACTTCATAGGTATGTTAGAAGATGGCAAGTGCTATGGAAATAAAAGAAAAAGTAGTGTAGGGGGAATGGGCTTGGGCATTCACAGGGGAGGTGGGCAGGTTGCAGTATTAGACTGAGTGGTCCAGGGGGGCCCCATTAAAGTGGTGAGCTTTGAACAAAGGCCTGAAAAAGGTGAGGAGTGAGCCAACAGGTATTCTTGAAGGAGAGCATTCCAGTCAGAGAGAACAGTACAGCAGCATTGAGATGGGATCATGCCTGGTACGAATGGGGGACAGCAAGGATGTGAGCTTGGCGGAAGCTGAATGGGGTGCAGGATACCTCGAGGGTAGAGACAACTGATATCCCCATGGATGGGATATGGGAGATGAGATAAAGTGAGGAGTCCAGGATGAGCCAAGGTTTAATCTTTCCGTTCTTTCACCTTTATTCCCTCTTTCGTACCTAACATAATTGAGTATTCCCAAAAGTATTAGGTTGAAGTCTTTGGAGATTTAGCCACTACAGTTAACTCTAGTCTCCTAATGTCACTGGATTTGGGTTTCTTCAGCTATGCCATGAAGGTAATCTACAAGATAATCTTTAAAATCCCTTGTATGATTATTTCTTAATGATTCCTTCCCAGGAGTCATATTCCGATTGCTTGCTTGCTTGCTTCCCTCCTTCCTTCATCCATTTATTCATCATGAGTCTTTAAAACATTTGCTGGAACACAAGCACTTCCTGGAGCAATGTATGTGGATGCTGAGGAAGTAGGAAAGAGACCTCTGCCTTTCGATAGCTCACAGTCTTTGTGCTAAGGTTAGGTAAGAGTACAATACTTAAGGGGAGAATTAGAGCAAGTTACAGCCAGCAAAATACAAATCGTACTGTAGAACACGAAACCACGTGAGGCAAGGTGGCATGGTGAGTTAAAGGCTTCGGTGGATGAAAGCATGTATGTAGTCAGGGAGGGTTAGCACTTGCAGTTTAGGGAATTTGTAAAAGGGCAGCGCGTGGTTAAAAGGTGCTCCACAGGTGCCCTGGGGAAAGGGGCACTGATGGTGTGAGATGAAGCTGGACCGAGAGGGGGAGGCTGGCTAGTGGAGAACCACCCACGTGGGCCAGAGGGATCTGGGTCTGAGCAGGAGGCAAATCGTAAGGAAGGGATGACATTATGAAGATGCAACTGGAAAGTGATCATCCTGGCTCTTTGGTACCGTGAGAACTAGAAGAGAGGAAAAAGAGGTGAGAAAAGCAGCCCAGGAGACTGTTGAGTTACCCCTGGATCCTGACTTCTGAAATTGTCGCACGTCACTTGTCTCTTCTCTGGCTGCCTCGTTGTATGATCGAAATTCTGGGCATTGAGGTAGCAAAGAAAAGTTTGTTAAACAAGACCTACTCAAAGGAGAAAACTATATAAACAAGGAAATGAAACGTTTCCTATGTTGTTGGCTGAAATTTTAGAATGGAACTCTATGTCCATTTTCAAGATTTTTAGTGAGGAGCTCTTAAAAATTTGTTTTTTAAAGCCAAGTCTGACTTGCTCCTCCATCACTTGTCTGCGAGCCATTCTGGAAACAAAGAACATCCCCAAATTGAGGTTCAAGGCCAACTTCATTTCCCTCCGTGCAGTTGCAGTGGCGTGATTTGCACACTCGCTGGCTGCATTCATCTATGTGTCTACTCTAATGGGCTTTGTGTGGTTCAGCTGGGCTTGGATGCCAGCCTCAAAAAGCCTAATAAAGCCCCACATTTATCCACTCCTCCGTTTCTGATTGTATTTCATAATGTGTTGATATTTCCAGGCTAATCTTGCACAACTATTGAGAGATTGTCAGGACCGAAATAAACATCTGGGAGAAGAAATTAAAGAACTTCAGCAAAGGCTCGGAGAAGTCCAGGGCGACAATAAGGTACCATGAATATTTAAAGGGAAAAACTGCGCTGCGTAATTGTGCGCTAGAGGTTTATGTATAGCACATCAGAAAAATGTAATGCAGCATTTGCTGAAAAATTTGTTAGATTTTTACATTTGCAATGAAAATTCACAGTTTAGCATTTCTTATCTTTATTACATTCCCTTTGTGGGTGCACGCGCACGCGTATGTGTGTGTTTCTAGTTGCTCTAAAATATTGTCACAATCCATTGTCAAAGTCTCATTATGTTCAGCTTGGTGGTGAATAACATTGTGGTTGAGGGCAAAATAAAACCCAAATGCTATACTTCCCCACTTCTATACAAATAATGGATTTGTGGCTCAGATGATTTGGAATTATTCACATTTGGTTTTGAATTTTAAGTAGTCATCCTACTAATTATGTTCACATAACCAATTTATTTTATTGCTAAATTTGGCAATTTGTATGGAACATTGCTCAAAATCCACTGCTTGGTATTAATCAAAGTCCCCTGTTGGCAACGTTAATTATAAAATATGAACTCATAAACTCCAAACTAAGTGTGTGCACGCTGTCCCCCAGCTGAAGCTGTGGACAAAAGTACAATCGAGAAAAAGAAGAAAAACTACTGAAGTTTAATTCTATCCCCCAAATGATTTCCCGTTTTGCCAAGACAGATTCATTTTCAACTCTCTGCCTTCGTGACAGAGATGGTGGTTGGAGTTTAACTCAAGAAAACTCCATGACAGGGAAGGTGCCATCTTGGGAAATGTCTTTCAAACGTTACCAAATTCCTTGGCAAATGGTGTTGACGTTCATTGTTTTGGGGAGTTGTTGGTTATTGGAAGGCGCCATTTTGAAAGATGCCAACTCTTAAAAGACTGCACAGAAATATTTGGGTTGTCCAGAGAACTCTTCCGTAACGAGAGATCAGAGAGGATTTGTGTGTACTGCTGGCTTGATCCAAGGGCATACTCGGAAGTCTTCTTTATGTAGCCTCGTCTCCACTTAATCTGCCTTAAAAAATTTTTTTTTAACCTCTTGGATTTAATATATATTTGAAAAATTAGGCTGTACTATTCTGGGTTGTGAAATAGGGACTGGGAGAGTATTCCTAAGAAAGGTTCTAATTAACACTGGACAAGCTAATCAGGCCCCTGATGTGGTTTTATGCATCACTAAAAGGATTTAAGCTCTGTAACCTGGGTGTTTGGTCAATAATTAAAGGCCAGACCTTCTTAGTCACTTCCTCAAATGATAACAGCGGGGTTTTCTAGAGAACAAAAGGAAGTGTGTGCAGTAGTTTCCTTTAAACCCGTAAAAATACTACAGGAATTTTGGAGACGTTATAAACCCACAAAATACTGAAACGTTTTCAACTGCGACTTTTGGATTCATGGTTCTTCTTGTCTGACTGATTTCTTCTTTTCCTATTTTCTTTTTTCTTCCTGAGCTACCCCCCACCTCCACCCTTCCTAAATAGAGCTCTACCCCATCTTTGGTCACTTTTAATTGTGTCACCTTTTAGGTATGAGGTATTTTAGGAATTGACATTGGCAACTGATATTTCAAAGAAAGAAAGGGAGGGCGTGTGTGTGTGTGTGTTGTGTGTGCGTGTGTATATGAATGTGAGAGTGTGTGTGTGTGAATGTATGTATGCATGCCATGTGTGTGTGCACGTGTGTGTATATGGATGTGAATGTGTGTGTGTATGCCCATGTGTATGTGTATGTATGAATGTATGTGTGTGTATGCCCATGTGTGTGTGCACGTGTGTGTATATGAATGTGAATGTGAGTATGTGTGTATGCCCGATTGTGCGTGCGCGCATGTGCGTGTGGGTAACACTCAGCACAAGTCTGGAGCTTCTTTGGAATTGGCACAGCCTGAGCTTCCTGATTCGCTTGTGCTCTGGGTCTTTATTCCAGTAGCTGGAAACACTTATCACACTGTTTTCTTATCTAAGGTTTAGAATTTAGTGACTCATATTCACGGCCTGGGAAGTATTCACCTGCCAAAAGGTGCAGGGAAGATGTTATAATGTTCAGCAGACCCCGCGTCTCGGTATCCAGCCTCTCCCCCTCAGAAAGACCAACTGCCGCCAGCCCCAGAGATTCCATTTACTCGCATTTGCGTCTAAAGTTATAGGGCTGGTTTATTTCCAGCCCCCTGTGAGTCACGGTCATCCTCCCCCTACCCCCACCCCCAGTCATCAACATTAAGGCCAGATTACTCATTCGATAATGGCACCAGCATTCTGAAAAACTCGGAGGCCTCTGTTCAAGGGTGGCTGTGACTGTGAAGGAGAATGAGTTAACCCTTTGTTTTTTTATTCATCGTGTCACTTCCTACTCTAACCTTTCCATCGCTGTCTGACCTCCTTGCCATGGTACTCCAGGCCCCCCATTATCTGGCCCTTGTTGATTTCTCCAGCCGCATCTCTTGCCACTAGTTACCTCACACTTCAGCCCTGCAGCGCTAAGTTCAGCCTCTTTGTGGAGCTAAATTGCCCTGTCCCTCAGGGCCTTTGCACCTGCTGTTTGCTCTTATCTGGAACACTCTTCCCCTTTGCTTCTCCTGTAAACTCCTGCTCATCTTTCAGGTCATAGGTCAAATGTAATCTTCTCTAACTCTTAGGGGCAGGTCCTGTGCATGCCCACAGTGCCCCGCTCTTTCCCCTGTGCTGGCACAGTGGCACCCCTACTCCCAAGGGTAAACTCTTTGCAGGCCAAACTCCTGACTGGTGTACTACTGTATCCCTAGAAGTTAGCATTCTCAGTTCCTGATCCATAGACATTATTTAGTAAATCTTTATGGAAGGAGTGGAATGGAATAAATGAATGAGTGGATGAATAAAGGGAATGAGACGAAGAGCAAAGCGTTCAAGAAAGAGGAAGAGAAAAAGAAAAGAGAAAAAGAAAAAAGAAAAAGAATATAAGAAAATAAGCAGACTGACAGCAATTCTGGCTGTTATCAGTGACCTTCTTCATGCTGGGAGCAGTAGTTTAGAAATTTGAGGAAAGAAGCTAGAAAAGCAAACCATTCCAGCCAAGAAGAAACCAAACCAAACCCATGGTGGGAGACCTTGGGGAGCCCCTGTGGAGAGAGCAGGGGGTCTGATGCTGAGCCTCATGGACACGGGTGGGGTCCTGCTCATAGGCTGTTCCAGCCTGTTAAGTTCAAGAACACTTAGTGATTGTTCTTGTCGGACTCCATCTCCCCCATTGCAGACAGAAAGGCTGACGACATCATTTTATGAGCGACTGTTCAAGGGGAGGATTTTTGTCTCTGAGTTGCCATTTTAACTCATGACCCTTATCCATAATTTGGGAAGCCCAGATTCTAGATATTAAGCACATTTAAGAAACAAGGTGATAGGAAATTACTTGCCTTGGGTATTTTAAGGTAGACTAATTTTTCCATTTGTTCAGCTAGAGCCTTGTCACCCTATTTGCCATAAAGCATTTTCAAACAGCCTCTTGAAAGATTTGTTGCCCCCTGGCTTACACGCAGCTTAGCACCCACGTGGGGTTCGGGGGTTCCTGTGACAAGTGGTGGTCCCCTGATCAGACACCACCTGCTGTCTCTCTGAACAGCGCCTAAGAATTTCTCGGTGCTCCCAGATGGACACAAAGCCCCAATTCAAACCAGAGGAGGCATTTGAAAGGGAGACCTGCTCGCCCCTCCCTTTCCTTGATAATTATAGTTCTGAAAGGTTAACGAGGGAAGAGGAGGCATGTGGAAAGGGACAACTAACATGTCCACAAATCACCCTGGGAGAAGCTTGTTGTGCACGGTGGGTTGCCGGGGGCTCTCAGTGTGTCAGTCTGAGAGGAATAAGGACCAGTTATGTGGAAAGACCCAGACAGTGCTGGGGCTGCAAGTCTGAAGTGCCGCCCACTGGGAGAACTGCAGCTTGCCTTGCAGCCCCAGAGGTGTGCCTGCCTTCTCTTCTGGGCGTTAAGAAAAGAGGGCGGGGGGCCGGCCCGGTGGAGCAGTGGTTAAGTGCGCACGTTCTGCTTTGGCAGCCCGGGGTTCGCCGGTTCGGATCCCAGATGTGGACATGGCACCACTTGGCAAAAGCTATGCTGTGGTAGGCGTCCCACGTATAAAATAGAGGGAGATGGGCACGGATGTCAGCTCAGGGCCAGCCTTCCTCAGCATAAAGAGGAGGATTGGCAGCAGTTAGCTCAGGGCTAATCTTCCTCAAAAAAGAAAGGAAGAAGAGGCGATGGGGCTGGACGAAAACTGGACTGATGCTGGTGAATATGATGCAGTCTATACAGAAACTGAAATATAATGATCTACACCTGAAACTTACACAATGTTATAAGCCAGTATGACCCCAGTAAAATAATTTTTTAAAGAAAAGAGTGAATTCAGGGAAAGGGGACTAGGAAGAAGAGGGAGATCTCGGAGAATTTAAGGGTTAGTAAGAGTCAATCAACAAATCTAGCAGAGTGCATTGGAATCACAAATATCGAGAGGTGAGCTGGTGAACCAGCTCTCTGGAAGAGGAAGCCTGGTTGGTAGCATTTTGCCGATCTCCATGGTGTGAATACTGATACCATGACACGTGCCAGGCTACCAAAGTGAAGTCACTGAACTTGGGGTTGGAGAGACTGGCACTCCAGAAAGGACCAGCCTGCAGCTACAGCCTGCCACTGCCAAGAGGTGCAGTGTAGTATAGTTTGTCTTTGGAAATGGCTAGGCCCAGGTTTATATTCTAGCCCTGCTAGTTACTGTCTGTGTGGCCTTGGGCAAGTCAATTTTCTCTTCAGGCTTGTTTCCTCATCTGTAAAATGGGGATAATAATACCTCATGTAGAATTATTGTCAGATTTCATCGTTTTTTCATCAACACATAATTGGGGACTTACCCTGGGCTGGTCAGTGTTCTAAGAGCTGAGGATACATCCAGGAATATGAAAGACAAGGTACTCACTCTCACAGGGCTCATATTCTAGTTAGGGAGACAGACAGGAAGAAAATAAAATGCATGAGTAAGATGATCA